TGCTCCCGGAGAACTATGTTCGCGCAGTGAGAGTAACTTCCTTAGCACAATTGATGGGTTGAAAATAACATTTGTAAACAGAGGTGTCGGTAATGAGCTTGATATTATGGGACAGGTAGATGTTGCGAGTTCAAAAATTGGTGCGTATTGCAGCCGCAGTGCATTAGCTGCTTCTTCGGCGCTTTGTACTCTACCGCCTGTCGTGAATAGTGGGGGTATTCCATGCTTCACTTTACGAAGCTTATTGACATGCTTATACAGCAGTTTGTTGTTTGCCATGAACTTTTTGGCTAGACACTGTTGATACGTTATTTTGTCCTCACGGACAAGTGCGGTGCAATGGTTGCGATGGGTCAGGAAATTTCCCCAAGTCTCTGAGTCTGGGTTAATCTTGTAGGCACGCCATGCTGCATCCCTTATCGCCAGGCATTTGCGAGTCCTACTCCTTATAATTGAAGGCATTTTCGCGGGACGAAGGGGTTTGGTCTCTGATGCTTTGTTGACGATGTCGCTGAGCTTATTAACGAACTCTGCCCAAACGTTGTCAAGGGGACTTTTGTTTGAGAATTCCCAAGCAGCTGTGTCGGCGAGTTCTTTCAATACGTGGTAGCGTGTGATTGTATGAGTTAGTTCCGAGTGTTCATATGGATACTCTGCATAACACACATAGTCAAAAGTTATTACTACGTGGTCACTGAGACCTAATGGACTATCCATCAATAACTTCTCAATCATGAGCTCTTCATTTGTGAGCACAAGGTCCAATATGGACGGTTTGTTTGCTGTCCTGAATCTAGTGGGCGTGGTGACATGATTGTACAAAGGGATATTAGCGATCAGTTCCTGCAAGTCTGCTTTGAACTGCTCACTGGGCGATGCCGAAACCTCCAGATTGTGTAGATTGAAGTCCCCGGAGATGAGAGTGTGGCTGTACCTAGTGCGTGTTACTCTGTTTAGGCCACGGATCAAGCAGGAATCCATTTCCAGAGTGGACGTTGGGGGGCGGTAAACGATAGCTATGAGACATGTATCGTTGTGTCTCAGTCGGAGACGGCACCAGAGTGAGTCGGTAACGTGTGTTTCCAGGTCCTCAACTATTGTACATTGTAGATCGCTGCGGTAGTAGAGTAGGACCCCACCTCCTCTGCTGGGGCGGTCGTTCCGGATGATTGACATTCCGGCTATCTCAACCTCAGCATCAGTCACCTCTTGCTGCAACCAAGTTTCGGTAATAGAAATTAGGTCCCAAGCATTCGCAACCTGACGCAGTCGAAGTTCGTTAATTTTACTGAGGAGCCCTTGAGCGTTGGTGTACATACATGAAAGTTTCTCAGATTTAATCAATGTTGCAGAAGTTGTATAACTCATACGTGAAGTTTCGCCGACCAGTGAGTGGCCGGCGACTGGATGGATGGATGAAGCAAATGAGGTTACGCCGACCATTAAAGGGTCGGCGACTAATCGTTTTTCGGATGGGTTGCATACTCTCGAGAAGTATTTGATATATAAGCAGGTATCAGATGCTCCGAATCCTGGTGTTTGCTCGTGCTCTGCTGGGCCCCTCCGGATAGTATGGCTACTCTTGAAACCGTCCCTGAGTCGGGTCCTGCAGCTGGCGTTTTCATTAAGAGTTGTGCCTCTACTGAATTGTCATTAAAAGGGGTTGGTGTTCTTGCTGCTTTCAGACGAATTTCCGTTGGCAATCTGCAACGGAATTTGATCCAGTTCGCTACTAGGGTTTGTGCCATTTGTTCCGACTGTAACACAAGTTGTAAGAGCCTGGGACCGCATCCTTTATAGTTTGGTGATATGGGGGTCCTTGTCAACGAGGTGACCACCACATTTTCGAGAGAAAGAACCTCCCGGATGTAGTGCCATTGCTCGCGGTCATGCATCTGAGCATCTTCGGAAGAGGAGTCAGTAAGCTCAGGAACACCGTGAGCAATCACTGTTTTCTTATCTTGACTTATTCTGTACCTATCTTTGTTGGCGGGATCCCCTGACCGTTCTTTCCACGGGATTTCGGGTAGTATGCGCACTCCACTTGAGTCGTTGCGCAGACGATTCGCGGACAGCAGAACGGCCTCAGTCTCGTCCGCCGAGTTTAGTGTTACTCGAAGTAACCGGGGTTCGCCGTAGTGCAACGCGTTTGGGTGGCGCGAGATTCTTTTTAATGTCGTGGGATTAGCATGGACTCCGATCGACGTACAGATGGAAACCCACTGATTTCGATCGTCCGTCAACTTACCCTTAATTGTATTGGATTTGGATTCGGGGACATTAGTGCATACAATATTTAGGACACCATGGTTGCGCCTGGTGGCTACTGGTTTTGAATTTTGAGGCTTAGTTTCTGGTGTTTTTGTTGAATTTGTGAACGGCCTTGGTGTGTGCCATCCGTGCTGCGTCAGTTTTGTTTTCTCTAGTTCGGGCACAAAGGTTACCGGTGCTCTTTCCGGTGTTTGCTTGGCAGCAACCGATGCGTACGTTGCCGGGTTGTTCACTATGGCTGGTTGACTGTAGCTTACAGTCTCGAGTGTAGTGAACAGACTACTAGGTGCAGCACACAGTACAGAAGTCGAGGCAGGCGCACTGCAGTCACTGTTTTTACTTATAGGAGGGAGGGAGAATGGAGTTGATACTGCTGGAGGCTGAGTCGTTGGGGTTGGGTTGGGACGCCTGGCTCGCTTCTTCGGCCTGACTAGTGAGTTCGGGGTGTTATTTTCACTCACAAGTGCAGGTCCGTTTCCTCCCAAGGGTGTAACTCTGGCGCTCACCAGTTGCTCGACTGCTTCGGTCAGTCTTTCACACCTCTTCAGTAGCACAGATAGACAGCTAACAAATGGAATAGACTCGCATACTTGGCAGAACCAAAACGCGTCTGCGGTGTTGGCTTTCGTGAACGCCTTCCCAAGGCAGGTCGTGTGGTATGTTTTCAAACACATAGAACAAACCAGACCACTTTTTACGACTTTGGCACATGATTCGCATTTGTTCTTCATACGAGACAAGTTCTCAGTAGGGGTAGGGATGGGATGGAGATACTGACGCACCTTTGCGTGGCGATCGGCGCTGGTTCGAGGTCAGCAGGTCCAGGCGTGTCGAGGCCAGATGAATCACGCGTGCTTTGGGGTGGATGTGCGTGCTATCGATCCAGACGGTAGAGGGTAGGCCGTGGTGGACGTAGGACTGAGACAAAGCAAGGTGATTTGGAAAATACTGTCTAATGACGACAGTGGAAGTTCCAAGGACGGATCAAATTGACGACTATCGCTTTGTAGAGCGACTTGAAGGAATGGTAGTAAGCTGATCGGGTGACTCTCAAAAAGATCTTTAAAATAAGACCACAAGAGTTCTTATGTGATGAGAGGAGAAATAAAACATCCGATAAGCTTCAAATACGGTTGACTTCGAAGTTCCAAGAGCACAGTTTGTTGGTGATCCGTGAATGATAGATCCAATAGATGAACAGTGGTAGGAGGAGCTCGCGGAGCCAAATCGAATGATGGCACGTAGGTCACTGTGAGAATAAATCCAAAGATTTGGAGGCGGATAACGCAGGAGGACAGCTTTTTTGCGACCGCACCGTTCAAGTAGGCTGACGATCAAGGGCACTGAGATCAAAGCTTCCATCTAGAAGCGAGCGCACATTACTAAGCAATTTAATTGGGACTTATACATTGTCCATAAAGCAAAGACTGAGGCTTCCTTGCCAACCAATACGCTGCTACCGTTTTTTTCCAAATTGTTTCTTTATAATCCCTTTAAAGATTCTTCTAAGTGTGACCATGTTGGATGAAGCACCAATTGAGGGTACCAACAGGTCAAATTTTTAAAAGATTAATGGATTAGAACATAATCATTGACCTTAACACTAGATCAGGAAAACGACATGTCACAAAGATTCAAAGGAAAAACGTAAAATCGTTGGTTGGCAACGCAAACGAGTGTTCCAACGAGAACAGCAACACGTGAACTCAAAGCACAGCTTGTGTATGCTAAGGCTAATAGTCTGGAAGAGATTGACGGTAGATTTACAAACTAATAGGTAAGTCACATGGAGACAACAAAATATCCGATGCGCAATCTTGGAATGCTTGTTACCCCCGATAGTAAAGCTGGGTGTTACTCGCGTTCCTATCTGTGTCCCCATTGGCACAATAATCGACTTTGGTGGAAACAGGTGGTTTCCGTCACATCAGCATACTAGGAGATTTTGATTCATGCAACCACACAACAGGGTTTAGAGGGCGAGTAGCATTGTGTTAGACTGCTAGGCGTGTACTGGGCCCGTCAGTGTTATCAGTCGTTGCTTCTATCTGGCGAACTCTCCCTGATACACCTGACAGAATGTCCACTGGAGCCTTCCAGGTAGGCCCCTTAAATAGCTCCCCAGCACTTGTTGCCAGGTAGAAGTCTACTTTAAACCCGACAGTGTAAGAGAGACAAACTCCTCTGTTGTTGTAATCCATGTACTTGGCAACATAATGAACCGTTTTGGACACTCACCTATATCATAGTTGCTTCCAACTGTCCATTGATCCTTCATCTTGATATTGCTAAAGGTGGACCCATTACAATGGCTGAACATTGCGCCGCAAATCAGTTGCCTAAAATTTTGTCTCCTGTTTGGACCAAAAATTTGAACTAGCTTCGTTGTGTGACTGCGTATCAAGAAAATGTCAGTTACTAAAACATCTTGGGTTACCAGTTGATGTCTGGGGTGCAGTTTTACCAGTCTTACGAGATATTGTGTTGAGTGGATGTACTTTTTGATGTGCGTACGTAATTAGCTCCCCTTCTACGCGGATCTCATTCCCATTTTTTGTAAACAAACTGGCTTCATACTCCGCGAAGGCCTACAACCATAGTAAATAGAATTAGTAATTCAGGACATAATAAGTTACTTTCACACAGTGCTCCGTTTTTTCATCTGTTTAACACATTTAAAATACCAGGTACTAGTCAAACAATTGCGCCTGTTTTTCATCTTCTCACAGCGTTCCAACCTTCAGTGAACTGAGTTTAGAAGTGCTTGGCAAAGTGGCTGACGTTCTCGGTGCATGCCACTACAATCCGGGAGACTATGTCATCCGTGAAGGAGCCCGTGGAGACACATTCTTCATCATTTCGGGAGGAAAGGTTAGTGTTTCTTTGCTGACTTTCCTAATGGTAGACCGTAGCAAAGACAAGCATCATCCTATCAAGAAAGCTGCAACAGTAACGCGCGACTGCAATATACTTGGCATTTGATACTTGTTGAACTACAGCGTAACTTGTCAAAGGCCAGAGAGTGAACCATTGTGAAACACACGCATGACTGATGATGACGTATCACGTGGTTCCTGGTAGAGTTACAACCATAAATCTAACTTATAATGTCGAGCACTCGATTATTGACATGGGTAAGTAAATACTAAATAGATAAATAAATGAATAGTTTATTCTCGTCATTGCGAGGCACAACATCAAGGGCGTGATCATGGTAATATAGACATGTATGAGCGGCAATTGCACCAATGGGTACATGTTGACAAATAGCGTAAGCATTTATGTGTGTGTTGACATGTAAAAGTATGTAGATGTCTGTATTTGGAAGTGGCATTGTTGTGTGATTGGGTACATGTGACTCCGTGTGTGTTTTTTTTCGTTGGGTTCGCCATCATAGAGGGAAATCAATGGAACGCTTCGAATCGGATGACGTTTGTGATGTGTGAATGATCCTCCGGAAAAAGGAAGTGGCAGTGAGTTTATTTAGTGGCGAGTCACATCCGTCACGTCACAGTGTTTTCAAACGGATATCTGTGGTTTGTTACAGGGAGAAAGCTTGCCAGGCGAAATGTCACCACATCCTGGAACACTGCCGCCGAACCATTTGATGGAACGGCATTTACCCAAACCACCCAGCTCGCATCACGGGGAGGTGGTTCGGCTAGCCATCCCGCTGTGAATCATTTGAATATCTGGGTACAGTGGATTTGTTTAATTGGTTTAGTTGTAACCGAACGCAAGTGTTGAAACGACATAGAAATCAGCTCTTGGAGAAGCTCAGAAAATCCGGTCCATTCATGCTTGAGCTGTCAGCAGTGCGCAATCATGCGCTTTTGCCGGGAGCTAGAAACCGTGACACGATTTTTACAGTGGAGGGTTTCTAGACATGGGTATCAGCGCATTTTGACCAGTTGCCTCTGTGTTCACGTGTGACCTGTGTGGGTATGATTGCAAGCCGTGTGTTAAAAGTCTATACAAGCTAGATCCCGTCGAATCCAGCTCAAGGAAAGATGGTCGGTGTTCATACAATTGATCTGACCACATCTGGTATAAGGTTAGGTGAGGGGATGAAGCACTGTAAGACTAATGACGCCATAGTGACAACCCTGACAGTCGTGATTTGACTCATACAATGTAGATAGCAAAAGACACCATAACTGGACGGATTATAGCAGAAGGGATATTGCTGTCGCTTACTGCCGTCACTGGGCTGTATCACGATTTGAGTCCATAACCAGACTACTGCTGGACTCTACAGGGGCTAGGAGTTAGTCCCTTTATGTCCGCAGAATTAGCATTATACCCGTTTGATTTCTGCTTATCTCAAAACATAGATATTGGATGTACTCGGGTGGCAGTCTTTGGCACATGAAGGTGATCTAAGTGAGCCATTGTAGTTGTTGATCGGAGCAAGGTTCCGTTCAAAAATGAATTCAGTACCTCTCAGAAGATCGGAATCCATTTGCGACGTTACCGAGTGTGAGTAAAGATGCTTAGTTGTGACCATAACGTTTATTTGTTTATTAATGAATAGTGGTTTGGGATAATTTAAAATGCATTTCGTCACAGTCCCCAGTCAGCCAACAGGCTTTGGCAGGTCTGCAAAAACACCAGACAGCGCTGTCTCGTCATTCTGGGTCTCGTCAGTGGTGCGCCTTCCATCAAAGCCATGCCGGGTTCTGACTGCAGAACTTCCGGATGCCAGCAGCTAGTGACAATAAGGTATGGGTTACGGACGCGGACTTGCATGGTTGACAGTGGACTATGATATATCCCGGCTCCATCTTCCGCTGCAATACAGGTTACGAACTGTGCAGAGGACAGCAGTTAGCCCCAAGAGCTAGAGCTTTCCGCATAGTGACTGTGTACGACGCAGCCCTTAGAAGCTATACGGACGGATTTTATATTGCTAATGCTTTCATTGCATCACTCGACGACTCTTTCACAGTAAATTTGCCCAATGTTACTTTTCTCGACCCGAATGCTTGTAGTGTCCACCCTTTGTTGAGTGATTAAAAATGAATCAACTAACAGTTTCACATCGGTGTGGATCACGGCACAAACTGAGTTTGTTCATCGCTATCAATTCACTACTAGGGTGCTCCTCAAGCAAATCACTACCATTATGACAAGTGTTGCTCGCTGCACCTCGGTGACTTGATATCATTGGTTTCGGCTGGTATATCCCAGCGTATCGGATTTGAGTTGCATTTCTACTATCTCTATTTGTGAAGATGAGTTCGAAACAAATCGTGCAGCGCAGTTTAGTGAGCAAGCAACACCGAACCTCTATCTCCTTATTTAGCCAAAATATTTTATCAATGTTCGATATTTCTCACATGTTTGTGCCACCGCCTGTTGCGTTTTAATATGAAAAAGGCAGTCCCTGTTTAGCCTTATTCTTCCAGCATTCAGACCAGTTTAGCCGCTACGCAAAAGTTGAGTGATTGATGCATGGACGCTTCGAGGACCTGGTATCATCTGTATCGTGATATATATATATATATATATATATATATATATATATATATGTCAGTGGCGGTAACCGGTTTCGGATTTGCCTGTCACTGTCGCCTCCACAGGGACAGTCACAGGACGCCTGCGCCTACAGAGGGACCATGGGTGGCTTGCGCTGCACCACACACAGCTCCAACCACACACCCCATATCCAGTGTAAACCCGAAGGAATAAGACCGGGAGGCATGTGGATGGGAGCCACGTTTCATCAACGGAGCCGGCCCACATTCCTTCACAGGCAAACACAAACACGCTGTATTTGAGGAATCAAACGCACACAAGGCGGTGGCTGGACCGTAGTCCGGTCCACACTGAGTGCATGGAACCACTCTTTGATCCTAACACGGTCACAAGGACGGTGCACCCCGTCCCCTCCAGCAAAGAGTAATTGTCTGCTAGAGCCAGTATGGACGAGGTAGTGGGTAATAGACAGTTAAGCACCTTGTCAACATGCACATCAAGCGCAGCCACACCGGGGATATCAAGCAACAGCCAATCACTTGATATAAAGCTAACAAAGAAAATAAATCGAGTAATGCATAAGGAAACGGTGACATAAATCTTAAGTTAATGAGCATATGAAATATGTTGTTTACAAGCGTATCCGAGATAAGTTCACAAAGTCAGAAAGTATATTTTACGGAAATGCCACCGACACTCGCGTCTCTTTGTGCTCCAGATGTTGCGCATTTTCTCCGCAAGTTATTTTTCTCAGTTTGCTAGATCTACACTTTTAGGTCATGATTTGACGGGCTCCTTTTACGGAAAACCTTTTCTGTAGAATAACTTCACCAGTGATTGTTTCTACTGGAGTTACAAATTTGGAGTAATTTTCAACCTTACTCAAGCGCACAATTTTGTGCTGTTACAATTACCTGCCAACGAGTTTTGCTTCTTCGATAGAAGAGCCTCCCAGCTTTCCGTCAAACATGTACCCATCCCACTGAATTTTCCATTGCAAACGCTATCTCAGTCAAGCGAACGTCAACTTTCCTTGCGCCTCATGGTACTCGATGTGATCAATCAACCTGTCATGCGCTACAGTGGCAACAGAATGAAGATCAGGAAACATTTTTGGTAAATTCTCATCCTATTCAAACGTGTATATAGCACTGATTACGTATGGAAAGAGTCAAATCAGGTTTGGATTGACTTATAGGCTGCTTTAATGTTCAAAATCGATAACTTGAGACAAGCCAAGTGAACTAAGGGAACATGCATACACCAACCTCAGGAGTCCGAATTAGATGGGCAAGGTAAGAAGCAAATAAGTAAGTAACAGAGTCTGTTGACCATGCTAGTATTACTGGCCGTATGAATTGTTCTTGTACACGTAATTCCAGCTTTAGATATTGGATGTAGCTAGCCTGGGCCATGGATAAGAGCTGCTTGTGGAATTCTTGCAACACATGAAGGGCAGCGAATATGTCTTTGAAGTCATCATCGGAAGCGGTATGGTCACAATCAAGAAGATGAGATATGAATGAGCTCTTTGAGTACCTCATTACGCCTTTATAATACATGCCGGGATGTGCTCACGAATCTTCTGAGATAGGCGCCTCGTAGTGTATCCCAGATATTGTGCACCGCAAGCGCACGAGTACTGATAAACGATCATCGAACGGGTCAACGAGGGCAATCTATCATTCGCGGGTTTTGTAGGCCATGTCTGGTTGTAATAAACAATTCACAGGCGAGTCGCAAAATATGTTTTCTGAACTGAATCTTTCAGACGTCCGAATAAGATATCATACAGCCAACACTACTAACATGGCCAACAGACGCTGTTACTTAGTTAATTGGTTCAAACCTTGCCCATCTAATTCGGACTACTGAGGTTTGTGTATGGATGTTCCTTGGCTTGTCTCAAGTTATCGATTTTGATCATCCAAGCGGCTTAGAAGTCAATCCCAGCCCTCACGTACTCAGTGATATGTAAACGATTGCGTCTGATGAGAGGTTACCGCAATGGATCCGTTAACATAAACCGAGTTCTGATCTTGATTCTGGTTAATGAAATGGGAATATTTATTTTTTCAGCAAATCAGCAATGCCTGTGATTCATTGACAACGGCATACACAACTGATATACACAAGCCGCCCTACCCGCTTTTGCGGGACGCAAGAACGCAACGCACAAAGCAGATGAGCCCGTCATTTGACCTTGACCTGACAATTGGCGACAGAACACTGACCGACGGCAAGACGCTGATAACTCGCTTATTATTTCTTTTTTCCGTTTGTTTCAACAGACTGGCGCACGTCGGATGGTGACCGCTACTACAGTAGTAACACGTTAACCCTGCTGTTACTACACTAACCCACACTTGGCTAGTACAGAAGCCTTTGTTACT